CATGGGGAGTCTGGTGAGCTGGTACCTAGCTACGAGCAGCCGCACCCACACTCTGGTATCTGGGGTTGTGTCCCAACCAGCTGGATATCAAGTTCGTGCAACTTTAAGGCCCAAAGCTCCTCATGTTCTTGTTTAACATCTTGGAACCTTGAGCTATGAGGAATGTGACTCCAGAGACAAAGCATTTTGTCTCTCTCCAGTCATTAGAGAGTATGTGCAACTCCTAAACGCCTCCTCCTGTCAGTAATTCCTTCATACCTGGAACCAAGTATTTCTTTAGGTGACTGGGTGGGAATCCATATTTTTTATTTACAAGAACTAAATGGTAAGACATTACATTTATAATTCCTTTGCCTTTCAAGTTTCCCATTGAGGACATAAGCACTCTTCCCTCTGTAAAGTGCCAGCTACGAATTATGTCCTCCTTTTCCACACAAGCCACATCTCAGGCTTAAAGGTTCTTGGTGGGTGAATATAAAAGCCGTCGAGTGTTCATATTTCAGAACAGCTAAAGTCATTTAGAGTAAAATCCAGTACATAAGATAAGCAGTCAGCCTGGGAAATGCCCTGGCTGGGTGGCTCACTTGGTTGGGGCTTCATCCCATACACCAGAAAGTTGTGGTTCGATCCCTGGTTGGGGCTTGTATGGGAGTCAACCAATCAATGTTTCTCTCTCACGTCAATGTTTCTCCCTCTCACTCCATCTTTCTCCTTCCTTTCCCCCTTCACTCTCTCTAAAACATCCTTGGGTGAGGCCAAAACAAAACCACCTTGGACTGTGCTCCTGGAGAGATTCCAGAGTGTCGATGCAAGGGCAGGGTCTGGCGCCTGAGTGCTGAGCTCTGAGTCAGCGCAGTCATGCTCTGTTGCTTAAACTTCTGCACCTCAGTCTCCTCATGTGTAAAATGAGTGTCACAATAGTTCTAACCAAGCAGGACTATTGTAAGGACTAAAGGAAATGAGACATCTGCAATTCATAAAGCATTCAGATTTAGTGCTTAGAATAAGTGCTCAATAAATGCTCACTACTCAGGGGCTTGGGGATGGGTCAGAGGGCAAGGCTTGAAAGGGCTGACCCTCCACTGTTTCTGCTGTTCCTGACATCGCGCTGCGCTGCTGAAGTCAGGTGTTGTTTGTCCCACAGAGTTTGAAAACCAGTAGTGAATGTCTATTTCAGAGGAAAAGACAATCAAGATATATTGCTAAATGATACAAGCATTTTGCAAAAACAATACATTATAAAATGATCCTATTTTTTCCTATGTCTATATTGTCTCCAAAAATATTTCCAAAATGTGATTATTGGATGGTAGAATTAAAGAAAACTTTTATTCTTTTTTTTCACATGTTGCTAACCTGCATTTTATATGTTTTGCAATAAGAATTTAAGTACATTTCTCTTAAGAATTTAAAGTATTAAAATTGGTTTGGATTTTTTAAATGGCAATAAATCAAAACAAAACAAGCAAAGCAAAGATTAAGAGATGGCATTAAGTAAAAATTCCCTTAAATTGTTCTGTTTTATCCTAGATTTTAGATGCAAATGGCAATGTTCTACCTCCTGGACAAGAAGGAGACATTGGCTTTCAAGTTGTACCTAAGCGACCACTTGGCCTTTTCACTCATTACGTAGTAAGAGGCTCATTAAATAACATCTTCTTTTCTATTTGTTTCTCAAAAGTCCTTGGTCATGATCTCTACTTGCCACAAAGCATACCTCGGGTAGGTACTTGGCCTTTTCTTGAGAGACCCATGTCCTAAGACAGAGAACGGAAAAGCACCCCCATGCTTGGTGGAGAAGGGCTCCGGCTCCCCAGGCTAGACCACGCCTCCGGGCCACGCTGTGGGTGGAGGGCAGCCCAGAAGGAAGATGCCTCTTAATCACACTGGGCCTCTCTGCCATCCAACACCACATCATTTCCCTGGGATCCAATGAGTGGTCTCCCTTCTTGCAGGGGTGAGAGGGATAGAGAACGGGGCAGTAATGCAAGTGCACTTCTTCCACTGAGGGCCTTCCAAGCTCCTTACAAATGTATTCCCCTCCCTAATCACAGTAGACAAATGAGTGCAAGGTTTACACCAATTTATCCAAGGCCCAGGCTCTACTTGCTGGTGAATTTTAAATAATTTAGCAACACATCATTTTTCTTCCTGCCCAAGTTACAGGACCAATCCTATTTCCATGTAAAACCAGACAAAATACCATAAAAACCACTGGCTGTCCTTTGAATTATTAGGTGTTGGTTCTTTCTTTGAACTCTGAGTGTTCCTTCTCTCACTCCTCCCAGTGCTCAATATTAGCCACTTAGCCAAAGGCAGCCTGCTCCTCTGAGCTCGAGCTCCTGCAGTGGTACTTTGCGATCTACCTACAGAATTCTCTGGGTAGAAGCATGCCTGGTCTTTGTAACTGTAGTTCACCTTCTGTATGTCACATGCTGGCTCCTCTTCATTCTAAGGCTTCTCAAAGGTACCAGACTTCTTTCTCCTGAGCACTTGAGTTCGATGGAACAGAAAAGTCACATTCACTAAACAAAATGTTATTTGTTTCACAGGATAATCCTACAAAAACAGCTTCAACTCTCCGAGGCAACAACTACATCACTGGGGACAGAGGCTATATGGATGAAGATGGATATTTCTGGTTTGTTGGGAGATCGGATGATGTCATATTATCCTCCGGGTAATTTCTTCAGCTGTGCATTTGTCTACGTGAACTGGTCATCAGTGTTCGGGGTGAACCTGCTGCTCACGTCATAAACGTCTGTTGTGTGTCTTACCTCCAGTTACCGAATTGGACCGTTTGAGGTGGAGAGTGCCCTGGCGGAGCATCCTGCGGTGGCGGAGTCGGCTGCTGTCAGCAGCCCAGACCCCATCAGAGGAGAAGTAAAAGAACGATTCGTCTCCACTTTATAATGTGTTAGCAGCCCGACACATACCTTAAATCATAGTTCATTGGGACAGAATTACCCACACGATTCATTCACTTACTGTGCAAGTCAGATAGGAAGAATTGCTACAGAATAAAACCGCAAAACATACTGTAAGGAATTTTAACCCTCTCCATGGAGGACCAGGGCAAAGACGGCATGAATGCCAACAGCCCAGTTTGCACCAGGCAGGGTGTCGGAGGTCAGCTGGACAGAAACACGCTGGTGCCCCGAGGTCTGGGAACTACACAGTCCCGGAGTGGCCGAGGAGAACAGGCTGGGTGGGAGCAAGGTCAGAGACAGGAGCCAAGGCAGCCAGAAGCAGGCCGTGGAGGTCAATAAGCAGAGATTCAGGAAATAAGCTCTAAATAAGACAGGAGTCCTGACAGCTCACTGCTATGGGGCTGACCACCTGGCAGTGTGGGTAAAGGTTCCATGCTACTCTTCAGGTGCCCTCTGCCAGGCAGACTTCCAATATTCCAGATGGATAAGAGCAGGGAACAGATTCAGTGATGGCGGAAGTTTGTCCCTTTGCACTGAATTCCACCAGAAGGGTTTCGTGAGTCTCGGCTCCTCCTGAACCTGCCCCCAGCCTCAGTCATCATTAATTGTGTCCACCCAGATGCTAATTTGACAGCTGAGCCTTTAGGACTGGGGTGGCTTGAGAGTCAGCTCATATCCCAGAGTATAAGGCAACAAAGTGGGTGTTGGTCCCCCCTTCCCGCACAGGGATCAAGTGAGGGGGAGAGATTGACCAGTTCCACTTGCCAGTGTGGGTGAGCGCAACGCCTCCTGCGGGGGGCGTCCTGGGTTCCCCCTGGTGGCAGGCCTGTCCTGGCTGTGCTCCTCATCCTCCAGGTCTTGCACTGAGTAGCACGTTCCAGAAGAATTTACCAAACAGATAAAATGAAGACTTTAGGACAATATCCAAAATATTGATCATTTTTATCTACCTACCACAGTTTTGCAACTTATTATGTGCATTTTCACACTATTGTCTATTTTTCAATGTTTTAGCTTTAAAATTCCTAATGCTATTTGCTAATCATACTTTGACAGTTTTATGATAACTTAATTTTTCTCAGGTAAAATGAGTACCCAGGTACATGCCCTTGATCGGGAATCAAACCCGCAACCCTTTGATGCATAGGCTGATGCTCTAACTACTTAACCACACCAGCCAGGCCTATTACTTTGCTTTTAAAATTTTATTTTCAGCCAATGACTTAATTTGCCTATTTAGCTACATTTCCACAATTTTCAAAAAAGTGTGTTTTCCACAAGGCTTCTTTAAAAGACACCACTTCAAACAGGAACAAAGGGGTGGGTGGCTTTATTACCACTGTCACTTCTGAAGAGAATATCTAGGTGTGAAGTGCTGTTTAACATTGGTTGGAACATGAAATACAGAGCAGAGAAATGTTTATCCAGGTTGCTGGGTTCCTAATTTTTTGGATCACACAGCTCTGTGGAATTTGAGGGCCACTAGACAATGCAATGATGAAATTGTTCTGTATTTGCACCATTCACTACAGTAGCCACCCTTGTACGACTGAGGAAATTTTATTACCTTCCACTTTAATTTGAATGTAAATAGCTATATGTGACTAGTGGCTGCCATTTGGAATAGTACGACCATAGACTTTTCCTATAAACATGCAACATTTTGCATAGTATTTCAGAAAAATTTGAAGCACACTTAGGGCTAAAAAAATCTTGTGCTCCTACTATTACAACTAATAACACCTAATGTTTTTGAGGACTTAGTATGTTCCAGGTATTTCTGTAAGCCCTACATCCTGTTTTCCTAGAGAAGGGAACTGAGGCACAGAGAGGTGTCCTAACTTGGCCAGGATCATACAACAAAGTATGACGGGAACCCAGGTTGTCACATTCGGGTCCATGCTCTTCACCAGGTCAGGTTGTTCCTTATTAATTTATCATTTTCTATAATGGTTTATAAAAGATTTTTAAAAAGATAGATTTTATCCAAGGCGTAGAAGTAACAATATGCAAATCAGTAATTACAAACATTAGTTCTAAATATAATTTGCCTCTCAGTGAACAATTCACTTATAACAAGGATAAATTTTTAAAAAATTTTTTTAAATTGATTTTAGAGAGAGAGGGAAGAGAGGGAAACATCAGTATGAGAAACATACATCAGCTGCCTTCACACCCTGTACTGGGGATCGAGCCACAACCCAGGCATGTGCTCTGACTGGGGACTGAACCAGCAACCTTTTGGTACATGGGATGACACCCAACCAACCAAGTCACACCGGCCAGGGCCAGTAAGGATACTTTAAAAAAAAAAAAATTCATAAAAATGTTGATAAAAGTAGCAGAGCAGGCATAAATACAAATGATTTTAAGAAATGTCAGAATATAGATAGGATAACTTTATATACATGCATATACATACACACAGTTGCACAACTGCCCCATTGCACATGTAAATTAGAAATGTTCAAGGGGTTTTGGTAAAGACAAAATTGAATAATTATTCATAAAATATTATAAAATTGCTCATTGGTATACAATGATCATTTCTCCTAACTGGTTGCCCAGAGTGGCTTATTGTTTCAAACAGTTCATTTTCAATCGATATTTGCTCTCCGACTATGGTGGATGGTAATGCGGGCAGCTTACCTTCAAGCTGAACTTGTTCACGTCTCAAACTCCGCTTTCCTACCTGTGAGTAAGGTCTCAGCCTGTTCAGTGCAGGATATTTCATCATAAAAGCTGCAGGCGCCGCCTGGGCCGTGCCAAGGAAGCGCCCTCCCTGCACAGAGTGCTGGCTGGGGGCTGGATTTGGTGGCGCATTGCTATTTGACTCACGGAGTTGCCTCTCGGGAAGGCAGTGCTGGGGTACCACTTAGAATCTCAGTACACTCTTCAAGTGGCTACACAGGAGGGTGGCCTTCTGCCTTCTCCATTAAAGGTCCAAACACTCTGGGCAGAGCTTTACAAAAACAGTTCAAGGAAGGGTGAACTTTGAACAAGATTTCTGAGCATAGAGTAATGAAAGCTTCCCTGTGTTCTGCCAATTAGAGAGCAAGGCCACCCCACATCTACTCTTGTTCCTCAGGGTCAGGCAAGTGGGCCAGAGAATAGCAAAGCGGCTGTGGGCATCTTCACAACCTTGTGCCAACAGAAGTGTCTGGAATAGAGTGCATGGCCTCAATGCAGTGTTCCTTCACCAAGCATAAGGCAAGCCTATGGGAACTGTCATATGTGGGGCTAGAACAGCCGTGGGCAAACGACGGCCCGCGGGCCGGATCCGGCCGTTTGAAATGAATAAAACTAAAAAAAAAAAAAAGACCGTACCCTTTTATGTCATGATGTTTACTTTGAATTTATATTAGTTCACACAAACACTCCATCCATGCTTTTGTTCCGGCCCTCCGGTCCAGTTTAAGAACCCATTGTGGCCCTCGAGTCAGAAAGTTTGCCCACCCCTGGGCTAGAAGCTAGGTTCCATCAGCCTGGAGACTGTGCTTCGTGTATTGCCATTTCCAAAGGGAGACTTTTTTTTTTTTGGTTAATTCTCACCTGAGGATATATTTCCATTGATTTTAAGGGAGAGGGAAAGACAAAAACATCCGTGTGAGAGAAACACATCGACTGGTTGCTTCCTGCACAAGCCCCAACCAAGGCCTGGGCTGGGGAGGAGCCTGCAACCAAGGCACATGCCCTTGACTGGAATTGAACCCTGAACCCTTTGGTCTGCAGGCCAATGCTCTATCCATTGAGCCAAACCGGCCAGGGCAATAGGAAACTTTTCGACAAGGACAGAGACAGGTAAGAAAGTGGAGTTCAAAATGCAGTTAGATGAGAAGGTTCAAGGGTAGATCATAAACAAAGCAGGGGTCCCTGAACCTCTCTTGTATACCAGATACAGAAGGTCTGAGAGCCACCTGGCTGACTGAAGAGCCCAGAGCTAGGATCAAACCCTGTTAAACCTCCTTGCCTTCCACCAAGCACTCAGAGAAAGTAAACAAGACACACTAAAGTAGGGGTCCTCACACTTTTTAAACAGGGGGCCAGTTCACTGTCCCTCAGACTGTTGGAGGGCCGGACTATAGTTTAAAAAAAAAACTATGAACAAATTCCTATGCACACTGCACATATCTTATTTTGAAGTAAAAAAACAAAACGGGAACAAATACAATATTTGTATTTGCATGTGGCCCGCGGGCCGTAGTTTGAGGACCCCTGCACTAAAGCATGAAAATACACAACTGATCTTACTGTGTTTCAAATATTTATTTTAGGTAGTAAAGGCTTTTATTGTTCTGAACCCCAATTACAAGTCACATGACCAAGAACAACTGAAAAAAGAGATTCAGGAACATGTAAAAAAAACTACAGCACCTTACAAATACCCCAGAAAGGTAGGTATTCTAATTATGATATTTGTTTAGTGTTCTGGAAAACTTGTTATTTTAATGAACATTCTCCTCAAACATACTATAGCACATGACATGGATAAGAATCAGAACCTTTGAGATTAAATGAAACTCTTAAATCGAATTTGTTGGGTCATCTGGCTCATCATCAGACTTCTAGTAAAATATTAAATGTCAAGAAAAATCTCAACAGTATCCTTTTCTCCCTTTTTGGTGTTACCAAAATCTCATCCCAATGTGTGTCCTATTCTCCACCTAGAGTTCATGTAATTTGACTTTGTCTAATGAAAACTTCTGGGCTAATTTTCTTCTCTTGATTCCAACAGGTAGAATTTGTTCAAGAGCTGCCAAAGACTATCAGTGGGAAGATAAAAAGAAATGAACTGAGGAAGAAAGAATGGGAATCTATTTAAATCCATTCCATTAATTATCATAGCACCCATAAAACAAAGACTGTAAAAACCACCAGATTATGAAGAGGTGATAAAAATATGATGCTTATAAACTACTGATTTGAAATACCTTGTGGTTATAAGAGGCTGAATTTTGAAATAAAAAAGTAAATTCCTGCCCTAGCCAGTTTGGCTAAGTGGATAGAGCATCGGCCTGTGGAAGGAAGGGTCCTAGGTTCGATTCTGGCCAAGGGCACATGCCTGGGTTGCGGGCTCGATCCCATCGGAGGCGTGCAGGAGGCAGTTAATGATTCTCTCTCATCATTGATGCTTCTATCTCTCTCTCTCTTCCTTCCTCTCTGAAATCAATAAATATTTTTAAAAGAAAAAAGTAAATTCCTCCACATTGGTGTCAGTGTTCTTATAACTTGATAATACAAAAAGAATACCATCAATTGATGAGAAATTTTAAAATGTATAATATAGAAGCAGTTTATGGACCAAATCTCTGACCTGTTGGTTTTCAAATCTTAGTTGAACAATTCTTCTAATATGCTAATATACAAATCAGAACCAATCTTCAAGCATTGAAACAAAACTGAATAACTTGTAAGTTATTAGAAGCACAAAGTCAAATTACCATAATTCTCAAATAAGAAATATTGACCTGAAAAATAGGCTAGGGATTTCTATTAGTCATATTTTTATTCAAATAACTTAGTTTAAAATTAATTTTAAGGTTTAATTATAAAATAAAGATATCATATACTATTATTGCTTATTATCCTATACTAGAGGCCCAGTGCATGAATTCCTGCACCTTGAAAGGAACTGTGGGCTGTGAGGCTGCGGTGGGCACAGGGGTGGGTCCCAGCCCATCCTCCACGCCCCCACCTGGCCCCTCCCACCACAGTCCACCAATCCTGTCTGCCAGCAGCCCCACTTGGACCTGCTGATGGTGCAGAGCGATTGGGGGTGGTGCCAGCAGCGGGTGCAAGTGGGGCTGTTGCTGTTAGTGGGTGCAAATGGCGGCCAGCAGCTGCCGCTCGCACCCACTGTTGGTGCGGGGTGACCGGAACTGGCACCAGACACCAGCTGCGGGTGCGAGCGCAGCTCCAGCGCCAGCAGTGGGTATGAGCAGGACTGTCGCTGGCAGCGGGTGTGAGAGGCAGCTGCCAGCCCCAGTCACTCCTCAGGAGCAGGGGGAGGTGGAGAAGGGCTGAGAGGTGACTGAGGCTGGCAGCTGCGCATGCACCCACTGAAGGCACTATCAGCAGGTTTGAGTGGTGGCTCCGATGCTGGCAGCAGTGCGAGCACCGGGTGGGACCACGGCGCATGGGAGCAAAGAATTTTCAGTAGACACCAGAGGCTCTCCCCGATGACAGTGACCAGTGCGCCTGCTTTGGTCTGGCGCCCCCACTCACCTGCTCCACCATCCCACCACAACCGATGCCCGCATGTTCCATGCTCTGCCGCCTGCTGCCTACAGCCACCATGTTCCACCATGACCCCCCTGGTGGTCAGCACATGTCATATCGACTGGTTGTTTGGTTGTTCCACTGTTTGGTCTATTTGCATATTAGGGTTTTATATATATCCTAATATATAAAAAGCCAGGGGCAGGGGCCATAATGACCAAAACGACCGGATGGATGACCGAACAGGCTAGGGAGCTGAGGGAACAGGAAGAACAGTCACCATGAGGGGACCCCCTCGCCATGATCATGGGGCGTGGCCAGCCTTCAAACTGCTGGCGGCCCCTAGCCCAGGGAGGCCTCCTAGCCAAGGACGCCAGAGTCTGTTCTAGACCTAGGGCTGAACTCTCCCCGCAAGCTGCCAGTGTCTAACTGCCAGTCTCCGGGAGGTGAGAGTGCATCCACCATCCACTGTCCACCAAAAAGTATGACCATTGAACCGTTCAGTCTCAGTGCAGGCACAGGCCTATGGCTGGCGGGTGGAGGCCAGACCAAAACAAAACAGCAGGAACACCCTGCCCACCTCGGCAGGTGCAGCTGCAGTCCCCGCGGGCCTGGGCAGTGTAGAAAGCACTACCTTCTCCCAGGTCCTGTGCTGGCATTGCCGCCTCGCTCACCCTCCAGCCCCCCCTGAGTCCTGACAGCGAAGTGTGTGGGGCATCCTGCAGGAGTTGTGCCATTCTGGGTGCTTTTGCCCAAAGACACCCTTTGTGATGAATTCAGAGCCACATCTCACTTCCCAGGAGACTGGAAGAACCATGTAAAAGGAATTCAACAAAAACTATCCACATCTCTATTTATTCTTTTGAATCCATAAAACGACCTTTAAAAAAAGCATTTGGGCCACCTAAGAGGGAATGCACTTTCTGGCCAGAGCATGCAGGATTCTTTTGCCCAACAGGTTAAAGTAAGCAGAGAGCTGGCACAGTGGAAATGGCCCTGGTGCCCTATGAGACTGCAGGAACAGGGTTGCAGAAATTCCACAAGCCTCTTGCCACCTTCTCCTTTGCAAACCACACCATCCAGATCCACCAGGACTGGAGGCAACTGGGAGTTGCAGCCGTGGTTTGGGACGCGGTAAGCAAATCCTGGGGGGCCTCTGAAAACATCTGCAATTGATTATAAGACTGGTCTTTATTTAAAAAGAAATAAAAGAACAGCTTTGTTGAGATATGACTCATATACTGAGTTGGTTTTTTAAAGTAAATTCAGAGTGGTACAACCATCACCATGCTCAATTTTTAAATATTTTCATGACCCTAACCCCTCCAAAGAAACCTTATACCCACTAGAATCACTTTCCTGATCGTCTTCCCCAAAATAGACTGCATCTTAAGGGTGGGTAAAGGAAAGTTGAGGGAAGTTAAAATACTGCACAAAGGATCTGTAAAATGACAAAGCCCAAAGTGAAGATCATGTGTTTGTTTTTTTATTTCAGAGAGAAAGGGAGAGGGAGAGATAGAAACATCAATGATAGGAATAACTGATCAGCTGCCTCCTGCAGGCCCCCTACTAGGGATCAAGCCCGCACCCAAGCATGTGCCCCTGACTAAAATCAAACAAAGGACCCTTCTGTCCACAGGCCAATGCTCTCTCCATTAAGCCAAACCAGCCAGGGCCCATGTATGTTCTTTAAGTTCTGCATGTTTGTAATGGTCTTCAAATCTATACTAATAAAAGGGTAATATGCTAATTAGAGTGGACATCTTCCAGACGTCCTTCCAGACAAAGCCACAGCAGCTGCAAGGGCCGAGGCTCAGGCCGGCAGTGGCAGCAGCAGTGGGGTGATGGGGGTGATGCCTTCCCCTGATCCGCCAGGTCACCTCCCGCAGAGTGAGGCCAGACTGGAGTCCGAGGCAGAGGCAGTTAGGGGTAATCAGGCCAGCAGGGGGGCAAGATAGGGGCGATCAGGCTGGCAGGGGCGACCAGGCCGGCAGGCAGAGGGTTTAGGGGTGATCAGGCAGGCAGACAGAAGTATTAAGGGCAATAAGGCAGGCGAGCGGTTAGGAGCCAGCGGTCCCAGATTACGAGAGGGATCTGGTCTAAACTGGCAGTCGGACATCCCCCGAGGGGGTCCCAGATTGGAGGGTGCAGCCCAGGCTAAGAGACCCCCCACACACACACATGCACGGATTTCATTCACCGGGCCTCTAGTAGATAATAAAAGGCTAATAAGCAAATTGTCCCCTCAGGAGTTTGACCAGGAGTTCGATCACTCACTATGATGTGCACTGACCAGCAGGGGGTGGCGCAGAACATGGCAGGTGATCAGTGTCAGCGGAGGGGCACTGAGGAAGCGAGGGAAGGAGGAGGCAGGGAGGCTGGGAACCTGATAGGCCCTGATCGCCAGCCAGGTCTAGGGACCCTACCTGTGCACAAATTTCATGTACCAGGCTTCTAGTATTTAATAAATTCAGTTTATAAAATATTTCACTTGTGGTTCTTCAAAGTATGATAAATTTGGCAAATGCCAATATATGAAATATAAATAAAATAGTGTTAGGCATTTTAAGATTACTCATGTTTGGGAGTTCAAGGAACAATCAGGATTCATACATGAACAAAAGACAAAAGTTAGATGGCTGGTGACTGAAATTAGAAACCTGTGAAATTTGTTTCTCTATTTTCAGTGTGTGTGTGTGTGTGTGTGTGTGTGTTTGTGTGTGTGTGTAATAGTCCAAGTGCAGTCTACAGAGCTCAGATAATGCTGTTCTCGTAACTTGCAGCCCTATATGCCTTTCTCTTTACATCAAATGCCATACTAAAGTAAAAACATAGTTTAGATATAAAGTTCATCAATTCCTCATTGAAGGTCTGAGCCTCAAAGCATTTTTAGTAGAAACATTTACCTTTTGGTCACAAGCATGGCTTATTTCTGGAGAACGAGAGGTGAGCGCCCCTGAGGAATGAGACCAAATTGTGCTGTTGGCCCTCTCCTTCTGAAGTGTTTGTTCCCATTTGAAATAACCACAACAGTTTCTGTTTTCTTGGTACTTCCCAATAGGGCAACAGTAGAAGACTCTCCCATGGTTTGGTCCATTATTAGAAACAACAAGTCTCTTAGACCTCCGGCCACACCTGCATAATGGAGGTGTCACCTTCCCACTCTTCCAAGGCTCTCGTAGGTTAACTGTAGGAGTGAAGACAGAGGAGAGGAGCTTCCGAGACCTCACTGGGGAGCCATCACATGATGTCGGCTTTTCTTCATGAATAGTGAAGGGCTGCTTTTTTGCTAGGGGGACAGCTGGGGGACTGGGTGTGTTCCTTTTAGTACCACCTAAAAGATGACATTTCCCCAGAACTGAAGGGTAAGACACACTGGCCTTAACACTGTTCAAACTGCTTGATTTGCACTCAGGTAATTTAAAGTTAGAAACATCTGACCTTGGATCTTTGGCTTCTTTTACATTATAAATAGTAGTATGTGGACTCTTATACACAACCAACTTAGAGGTCTCAGATTGTTGAGGAGTTTCTTCTGTGCTTTCAAAGTTCTCATAACTTAACAATTCAGATTCTTTTAGAACCATTAACCTTTCTCCAGACTTCAATGAAGTAGCTAAGTCTGAGTCACTAATGAGCGGCATATCATCTATATTTTGCTCAGGATGAGATGCTGGCAGTAAAGCTACATCCTCCCAATCAGTCAACATAGGCAAACAGTCGAGAGCAGAACTCATCTCCACATCAGAAACATGATTAACAGATGAAATGGTAGTTGAAACAAGCACCAAATCAGAATCCG